CGTATCATTTGCTGAAAGTTATTCTGCCACGCGAACCCTAGCCGTAGCTACCTTCGTTTCGCGCTGTCGTACCGTCGCATATTCCTCCTGACATTGTCGCATGCAATGATTCGAAGCCGGGGACCGCTCTTTGGATCGTTCGATATGCGCACTAAATGTACAAACACCTTAATCCGACCAGCCTTATTCGCTGCTCTAGCTCGTGCACCAACTCGTCGTTGATGTTCTACATATAATTAAGTTTTGCTTGGCTACGAAGTCGCCAGTAACCAAATGTTTAAAGTCATTTTCAAGCCAAGGTGGATTTCGGGTGCACTTCTCGTTTGCTTCCTTACGACCAGAATTTAGTTAGGATACAGCCTACAAATACGTGAGGTGTAATTCTGTCACGATGTTACTTTGGGACTATTTGGATCAACACCGCAACCATTTTTGAGACGATTTCTGGATGGTCCCGAAGACCTGTAGTTTCTAGTCACTAGTCAACATCGACGATACTAGGGTGAAATGAAATACGAATTAAGACTTAGATGAGGATACTTTAATATTTGCACTAAAACATGTATTCAGCGACAAGCGGCGTCATCAGACCACCAAGAAACTCTGAGTCTGTTTTAGGGTGACAACCCAAACGTACGTTGAAAACTAACGATATCATGCATGAATTGCATCAGGAGAAGCTCCCATAACTACAACCTGGTACGTGTATACATGGCCCTACACATTATCTCTGAAGAAAGTCCATCTGTCAGGAGAGGCTAAAGAGCCGTTTACCTCGTTTTGGCCACGCCTGGAAGACTATTGTAAACGGAAATGGTTTATTATGCACAAATTCTGTCCCAAAATGCTATACAAAGTATCTGTTTGCGAATCATTTGAATCCAATTGAAACGAGAAGTCGGTTCAGACAGTAACCCTCTAAAGACCACCTTGTTTGCGAATCATTTGAATCCAATTGAAACAAGAAGTCGATTCGGACAGTAACCCTCTAATAGACCACCTTCGGCCACCTAAGACGATTAAAACTGAGAAGCACCTCGTCTTCGGGGCGCCCTCAGCCGCCGACGTGATTTTGTCTTTGTGATATAGTTAGAGTCAAGCGCGGGCCACTTTTCTCCCCAACCTGAATACCATCTCCCACTAAACCACATATTGTTTCGGTTTGGAATTCATCAACCCGCATCGCGCATAACTGTATACTATCATCGTTCAAATCTCTCTTCACTCTGACTTGAAGTAGCGATTCACTTCGCCACTAGAAGCTACGACAGTGAAGCATCAGTGCCAACACTGATGTTGCTGTCTTTGATGATGCCACTAGAAGCGTTTTCCTTCCTAGACAACCACCTGCGCCGACCCCGGGCGTCTGGTAACTGTAGTGTATACCCCTACTGCAATTTACCGTCCGATCGGCCTACTGTGTACTGAACACGAAAAACTTGGTTATGTTTGGTTCAATCCTAATCCTTTTAGGTCATCCCAGCTTGCATCACTAATCTTGAAGTCTCTTTCTTTTCAGATCAATATGCTACTCAGAGACACGTGATCGGTTGCCGTGTTCCTTTCCATACTCTTTCTAATCGAAACGCATGGTTATGACTGTAACCATTTTTTTCACTGGCGTATGTCTTTCATGTGATCTCGTGTTACCGCCCAGTTCTCACCTGTGATTCCCTCTTTCGTCGTTTTCTTTCATTTTACAACGGTACGAGGAGACATCCTTTGTGGCTTGACATCCCATTTTTGTAACTCAGTTTTAACTGGAGAGAATTGCACTATTTTTTTCTACTTGTTTGTCGGCATCATAGTCATCAGTCAGTAATCGTATGTTGTGACCCAGTTACCGGATACATTCGTCTGCCACTCTGTACCTACTCATGCGATATTGCGAAACCACAAACGACCCCCTTTTTCTCTTGAACACGATGCTGTATAACTGAGCAAGGCTAACACGAGTTCACTCTGCAACTCGAGGTTTTATGGGATAGGTTTTGGACCCATCGCTTCAGAATAAATGGAGGGAGTACATTTATCTGGATGAGGCGGCTGTAATAGACCGTTCCGAACCACCTGTGAACTTCATGGAAAATCCTGGTGACTCATAGATGCAATCCCGTTGTATTCACTCTCGCTTTGGGACGTTTCACTGTGATAAATTTCAGTCACGCAGGTGTCGAGACTGAACTAGTGACTAGATGAACGTGCACGTGTTTGTGTATGTGCTCCGCCGTGCAGAAAAACGAGTGGGATTTCAAATTAAGTCACGGCTATCGACAGTATCAATCGTAATGTACCCCAGCCGGTTACAGTCCTTAAGTTCATCCTTACTAAACCGCAGAGCAGCAGAGTGGTTCTCAGACATTTTCGCACCATGCACTCCTCCCAGCAGGATGTGATCCACCCAGGTTTTACTGATCGAAACAGAACTTTCCAAATAATACGAAAATTTGGAAATAGTGACGCACGGGTGCATCAAAGGTACGGTCCATGAAGATCTCAGTGAGGAAATAATCGTTCTTCCTATTTCAGAAATTTGAGGCTGAGAAAAACTGGATGCGGAATGTTTTTAATGTTTCTAATCCGCCAACACCATCTCGGCCAGCAAGCAGACGCGCCTAGTCAAGCGTCGAATGTAAGTAGTTCTCCTTTGAGATCCCACAAAGAGCAGATCGAGTACAATAGAAATATACAGTAGGGTAAATTGGGCGTAAATACACCGTGCACACAGAACTATCACGCACAATGGGTCTACACGCGCGGCCCACAGTTAAATGCCAGTGAACGGAGGAATACCGTGCAAACCACCGTCGGGTTAACAGTATAGTGGGGCTAGTATCAGTTGTGCATTACTCTATTATGAGACTCCGGGTTTAACATCCGCGGGCCTATTCCGCGTAGGTTAGATGTCATACAACAGAGTTAATTGTTTCAACCTTGTTAAGCCTTCGACTGGTTCTTTTGGTCCCGATAGTCCATTTGAGACCCACGTGCATGCAAGAACAATCCCGGTCATTCTTGAACCCTTAGACTTGATTCCCGAACGGAAACCACGAGCGCGTCATGCTACTACCCAAGCGGAAAGTAAGTTTGTGTTTGCGCGAGGCCTACAAATGTGTACTGAACAAAAACTCAAGTCAACAGTTTGTTTGTAACGGCTGTCACTTCTGGAAGTTTCAATCGGTTTGGTTAGCACAATGGATTGACGAACAACCCAAGGCAATATTGAATTCTTTGGAGACCACTTGAGGTACGCCCCTGCTACTGTTCGGATAGAGCAAAACCACATGAAAAATGAGCGAATTCCGATAGAACGAATGTGATTCGCTTATCTTGCTGAACGATGCACTGTGTGCGCCTGTTCTTCCGCAGTTCATTAATCGCTGCATGCTTTTACCATGTCTGCTACGGGTTGTTTTCCATGAAAACCAGGCAACTGGCCAGCTCCGTCGATTCTGTCCCAGTCTAGCTCGCACTCATCGTCGCCCGCTTCAACCCGGAGCCTGACCTAACCGCGTGGATACTGTTCTCGGCGTAGTCCCCTATCGTGAGCTATGTTCGAATTTCGCCTGCATCCGGGTAGCCAGCCATTTGGACACATCGAAACGCGCTAACGAGATGCGTGGGATTCCGCGCAGAGGCTGTAAACCTTTTGAATCATCTTGATTTGATAAGGAGGTACCTTTATCTCGACCCCGAGCCATTTTAGGAATCATAGCAGTGCACCTTTTGCGCCTCATTGGCGGATCCTATAAAAATCGTTCAGCTGTAGCACCCTCTCGGTGCCTAACTGCCATGCCACCCGAAGGTTGCACGAAGGATGAGATACTGCCAGGTTGCCCAAGCCTAGACAGACGAGAGGCAGAATTCGGTTTCGAACCACGGATCTTCCGGTTAGTAAATTCGCGCTCTAACCACCTGGGCCATCTCGCCCCTATAAATGATGCCAAGATACGATTTTATGAATTGGATTCACCTTAATTTGAACAAGATACAGCACTCCGCAATCACTTCAATTAAATCCCCCACATATTGGGCGTCCAAAATATTGAGTAGAATCAATTGCTTGTTGATGGACTCGATTGGATGAGCTACAAACGGTGGTGGACTACACAACGGGCGAAACCTGATTATCATAGCCAAGGGTTTTCCGGTTGACACGGTGGCTCGGCATCCGTTTCCTGATTGGCCCGTCCAGTTGATGCATGTCTATGACACCGCACCGAGCCGTGTGTGCATCCAAACGCCTTGTACGGTGTAAACCCGAAAAAGTAAGGTTGATGGGTTGACAGGGGGCAGTTCTACAGCCATCAGCATGCCCAACTGGTAGCCATAATCGTGAATTGTTGATAAGTGAAAAGTTGCGAGACAATGCATTGAGAAGGTGATTCACGAATCTCACCGGGGCGCATACACAGTTACCTGGTACTAACGATTCTACAGTTTGGTCCGTACAACGTCATCTTCACCAAAGTTGAAGGCTTAAAATTTCAGATGGCCAAGACAGTTAAGTTGGGTAATTCGCATATTTATACATATTACGTGTACATATACGTATTTACATGAAAGTATGTAAAATTTGATAAGTTAACAATACGATGCAGTACAGTACAGCAGGCAAAAATAAAACGCTATAAAACACAAGTTATAGAGCAGTGTACCATGAGGTGCTGATGAATAAACGGACAACCGCCCAACCCAAACTAGGAAATTTGAGTGTGCCCATATTGGCGTGGGCGGTGCTATTCACCTGGATGATGAGTGTGGGCTGTCTGCCACCCAAACGCTTAACACAGCTCCATGGTTGAAGCCAATTGTTTTAACCGCACAATTACAATGATCTTGCGGAATCCCAAACGAAGAGCCGCTTATTGTAGGGAAGCTAAGCATTCATGTTGACTGGATTGAGGCGTATGGACCTGGGCAGGATGTAGTCATTGGTCTAATTCAAATGTCCAATCCTGGTTGGAGGACGCATAGTTTCCGGTCGGAAACCGCTGAGCAAAGGACCGCCCGCAGAATCTTGACAAAAAGGGAAGGCCTTGTGTGGTTGAGTCCTACGGGAACCCACTGAAATCCGGTTAAATATCAAACCCAAAGATTTGGTAATTATCAGGCCCTCCACGAAGATCGATGACTAGTCAGAGAAGCAGTCTGATAACCTACGAGTAGCCAGGCTACCTTGATTATGTTCACAGCTAATCAGCCCACAAATGATACCGAAGCACACTTTTTTTCATTATGTGACCCGGTTGCGCGATCGTGTTGCTCAGAAAATAGTTCAGTACGTCACACCTGGTTATAAGTAGAAAATTCGGGCGTAACACAGCAGTTACCACCCAAAAAATCCTCCCAGTAAATGACCACTTTCCAAGTGGCACCAGCTTTAGATGGCCACCTTACCCAGAAGATATTTGCATTTTCAAGGTAACAGATTCAGCATGCTGACCCCAGAGCACAGCACGATACTGTACATACCGTAAACGTGGACGATAACATGAACACCTCAAATGGGTCCAATCGCTCAAAACCCACGAATGCGTGAAACAAACAAACGGGAACATTTGTTGGCATCACAAAATGTGACAGGTTATTTTTCAAGAAATAACATGAAATGAAGAAATAACATGGTGTGAATGAAAGGGCACGAGCAGCCTAAGTTAGCTTCAACGATACATAAACAAAGTGACATTAAATGAAAGCCAAGTGATCAAAGCAAGCCTCAAAGTTAAATTGGAAAATCAATGAATAAATGCTCATCTAACAATGAAGGACATGTGAGAACGGTTGTATTGCACACTAATTGATGTGGAGGAAATGCCAAAAAGCGGAAACATTTAAATTACAGCATTAGCTCTAAGCGGTCTTCAGATAAAGCAAATGGCGTAATTTGTTGAAAACAGCAGCGTCGCCCACCATGAAAGCAGCTTTCTGATTGACAGCTTCCATCAAGTTAAGGCGTCCGTTCAAAACATCAGACATGTCGGAAGCAGTCAGATAGAGTGTGACAGTTGGTGGTTCTTCTGTCGGTAAGGCGCCCATCGCAGCAAGACCTATTGTAGAAGATAAAGGAAGAAGTAGGAAAAATTGGCTCTAAGGCAGGAGTAAATCATTCGTACACGCGGGATCCGTAAAAAAGGACCACTAGAGAGGGCTTATAAACAGGGTGATGACCCATACCCACGGAAACAGTCATGAAAAACATTCCCGGATGAAAATCTGCTGCCGTATTCAAGCGCTACCACTACTCATGACCATGAGTGAGATGCGTAGATAAACGGGATACCACAGAAGCGAAACACTGAACAACATGACTCAATGGACCAATGGTTCATTGGTTCTTACCTCGGGAAGTATTTTTACTACGATGGTTCCTCCGAAGGTGTTCCACTAGGACGAGTTGGTAAGCCCAGTGAGAAGAATAGTAGTTTCAAAGACCCAAAACAATCTAGGTGGGTGTCACCGCATCCTAAACTACTCAAACACACGCTAGGAACATCGATAATGAGCTAGAAAAGTCCGCTGGCGCGTGTGAATGGGTGGACATCAGTGAAATGTAAAAAAGAGGCTTTTCGCGTTCATGTTTGGCATCGGCTCAAGAGGCAACAGTGTACTACCTATATACACGTAATGTATTACTCATAAGGTCACTGAAAATTCTTCGACAGCCCACGACCAGTTCCGCCCTTCTTGAAGCTCATCAGGTAGGCGCAGTCCCCGAGTTTCCGTCAACCTTACGTTCTACTTGAAACCGAATTGCACGAACCCAGCGAAATATACTCATTTTCAAACAAATTTGTTTTTGCGAGAGACCCCCCTGGAACCCAGCTGAATCTCTCGTTTATGTTTACAGGAAAGTGAATGTGCTGCACTAGGCCGCCTCACGTTTCACTTGGTACGATGTTCCAGATATTGCGATACATGTATGTACGTGATCTACCACGCAAAACCAAATTTGTTTGCAAATGAGTGTATTCCGCTAGTGTATTACTTAGTTCAAACTAACGATTGGATAAACCTCACTGGGATTCACGATACGGAGGCGACGACTACTTCGCAAAAACAACAGAACTGATATGCGTTTCGAAATCGCAGTTGGAGAATCAGACTCGAAACGATTGTGACAATCAAGAGGACCTACCACGCCTGGAATCCAGATACATTAGAGTAAGTTGATCATCGTCGAGTGCATTCGCAACCGTAGGTAAAGGTTCTGAAAACGCCTTCGACGAGACAAATAATTGCATCGTAGTTCTTCCGAGTGCTCGACAAGCCAAATCGTTGTTGAGAAACGGTTGAGCACGCGCGATTGCCTGATTACACACAGTTTCTCGAGTGGAGCGTGACGTGTCCAATGGAGAATTCAGGACCTTCGAATTGTCCTGTGTCGGTGGCAAAGCGGCTGGCAATTCGTTGACAGTAGTTAGCGCCACGCTTTCTGTTCTTTCTGTTTGTTTACTAGGTACAGAACTAGTTGGACCACGATGCAGAAAAGCTGAAGAGATAGCCTGAAGTTGCTTCTGTATTGTAGACATTTTCAACTTCTTTACAGTTTCAGGAGAAGGGGCCGGACGTATGAGATGAAGTTCCAAACTGAAATGGTGACAGATAGCATATGTGTCGGAGAACATGGGTTAGAAACCAGCGTACCAAGGAGAGCAAGTGGTTATGGAAATGAACAACTGACTTCAGGAAGCAAAATCTCAACCTCGAACGGTGGTGCTTCACCACAAGAGCTACAACGGTCGAAATAATACCTAGGGAGTTACATCTGAGTAGGTGTCAGACGAGTAAAATAATTCGAAGAGCACACAGTTGAAATGAATGGAATATTGGGAGGTTAAGGCAGGTCACGACCAGTAAAAGCCTCATGACTAAATATCTTTCCAAACATGCCTTTGTGCACCAGATATATGTCGTCTTTCGACAATGATGTACAGCACCGCGACCCACCATGTTATCCGAGAGTACGGGGTTCCAGATGACACAGGCGGTGACTCCGAAAATGCTGTCTTGTACGAATAGTACGTGCTCAACTCTGGTGGGAGAAGGGTGTCTGCCTCATGGTCGGTCGGACTTTGTTTAGAGGTTACCCTAACAAGGGGTCTTCCTATTCATTTAGAAGGTAAAAAAAATAGGGAATCATAAATCAGCTTTATATGGAGGACTACCATGTGTGCATGGACGCGCATTCGAACTGCAGCCAGACATGAGCTCCCTCACCGTATTAGCTGATGAAAAACCAGCTACAAGGACAGAATGACTTTCACAGGGACAGCGGCTACCGTGCACAAGAATCGAACGCAAAGGTAACGGCTTGTATGATCTGGTGGTGTACAACTACTGACGCGCTAGTGCCACAGTGAAAAGATCCATGTAAGATGAGGTCAAGGAACCACGGCACAAAAAGCAAAGTACGCGGAGAGACATGGACTCACATTTCCATTTGAGATACAATAATTCCATGAGCACCACACCGAAGATTGAGAGAGCTCTGTGAAGAAAGAATATGCTGAAGATAACACAGAACCAAGTTTGATTTGATCATCACCAATGAGACTGTGGGCAATAATTTAACTATAGATAATCCAACTGTACGATAATGTTACGTGCTACGTGTGCGTTTTGATTCCCCCCCCCCAAACAGTTCACAGCTTAAAGGGTTCCGTTAAGAAGTCGATTATGTTAATGTGTCCATTCTTAATAAGACTTTGCATGTGACTGACTGTGAGTGACGCTTAATACGGAGGTTCATGTCGCTAATAAAAGCGCGGGATACTGACAAAATTCTAGTATTACGACGTTCCACTTCATGAGCATTGATCATTCGGTCTGATCAAGCTGTTATGATTGGATCTTGTTCGCTAATCGACTGACATAGCACATCGGTCAAGATAGAACATACTGGTAGCTACAGCATTTCTTTCGAGTTAACTCGACTGCACTTGCATTGGCACAAACGACTGAGTTGAGTCTTTCAGTGGGAAAGAGACTGGAAACGTATCGCTGTATAACTTCACTAAACTTCTATTCAATATCAGTGATGAGAGCAAGAGCAAGCAGGGGTCGAAGCAACGTACTTCATCAAGTTAGCTCGGACCAAGGCTTATAGTTAACAAATCGTGAATATCCGAAAGGGGGAAGAATTAAAATGATGAGAAAAAAGGTAGTGTAAGTGATGCCAATGAAGTGAACAAAAAATCAAAGCATTTTTTGTATCCCTTTAGTAAACAGCCAGTGAGGCCTAAACATGAATGGGCATGACAGTAAAGGTATAGTTCATGGTCAGTGTATTTCGCTCATAGGCAAGTGACACCGAAGGGGACCGAATTTTCGCAGACGGCTTCATACTACTCAGCTAAACGCCCGAGAGCCTCCTATTACCAGCGCCGTGTGCAGCCGCATCGTTTAAACAGCGCTCATATGCAGTGGTGATATTATATATATATATATATATATATATATATATATATATATATATATATATATATATATATATATATATATATATATATATATATATATATATATATATATATATATATATATATATATATATATATATATATATATATATATATATATATATATATATATATATATATATATATATATATATATATATATATATATATATATATATATATATATATATATATATATATCCAGTTCTGAAAACCTGTACCAAAAACGTGAAGTGACATCGTCAATGAACGACCGTTTCGAGCAAAGTTCAACTGGAAGGAGTAACGGACTGGGAAACCGAATATTCTGAGTTGTGTTTTGAGCTACCTACCATAGCGTCCGCCACCAGATCTTGTTTAGCCCCACCATCATTCAACTGCTTCCACGACAGACGAGTGAGTGAGGAAAGAAGACACAATTGAGCTTGCGTATTCAGCCATTTTGACGGTGGCTCTGTGGTCGACAAAAAAGCGTAATCGGGATCCGACAGCTTGTAAACCAACGAGCACTTGAGTTCCGCAACTGCTTGGTCTTCGGTTCCACCCTAAGGTGTTATACAAAATCGTTTAGAATGAATAAATACTTGATACAACCACCTCATAAAAACGTTGGGTGTTAAAGAGCACGTGACAAAATGGACTCGGGATTCGATAACAAAAGCAGATATCAACCATCAGTGTATCGAACTTACAATACCAACTTCAAATAGACCCTTCCCTTTTTAACACCCATTTCTGCAATCCGGATGAATTGACTATCTACAGAAGGTGGTGCGGTATTCAAGTAACTGGTCCGTTTAGTGTGCGTGCGATAGCTTTGGTTTCATTCCGAGTCACCACTGATGTGAACTACAGATGACTGATCCATTCTCATTGACAAGGATACCTCACATTCGTGGTTACTTAATAACCATTCAGATAACTGGATGGTATAGCAGAATCAAAAAAATGTACAATCTAAGGCAAAATTACAAGGCTATTCCATGTTTTTCAATGTAACTCCGTCCTTACTGGAAAAATCCTATACAAGCCGTACGGTCACAATCAGCAATGATTAGGACCACAATATGGCAAACCGTCGGATAGAAGCCAGCTATCGATGATACGAGAGGCACGAGGCATTACACTGTCCAAATATCCAACGCTTTCGTCTACTCATGGCAACAGGTGGCAATATTAGGAACTATGTCTGGGTGTGTGCATCAGTCGTATCAACCGGCCAGTGTTGCCATTATTGCAATTTCAGAAGCTACGAAGACGTCTGATTAAAGTGCAAAAAAATTGAATCGTTCAGCTTTAGCATCTTTTTGGTGCCTAACTGTGCCATGGCACCAGAAGGAAGCACGAGGGCTGGGATACTGCAAGGTTGCTCAAGCCTAGAAAGGGGAAATCGAGAGGAGGAGGTCGGGTTCGAATCATGGACCTTCCGGTCAGTTAATTCACGTTTTGCCCACTGAGCAGTTGAGTGGAAATTCATCAAGCTGAAGACAGCAGACCTTGCCTTCAGTGTAGATATGAGACAAGGAGATGGGGATTCTGGGCTACGAAACAACGAATAAGCGCATTGGATCCAAACAGACGCAATGCACTTTATCTTAAACTGAATCTTTCATCACCTTGAGGTACAGACGAAGCAATTTAATCAAAAGGACACGTCAGATCATTAACATAATGGGTCTATACAATCGTACTTGATTCCTTTCACCTAGACCACTATAAACTAGCAATATATGCCTACTCATACTGGATTAATAACGTCGAAAGAAGATAACTCCTTGATGAATACGTAATTCTGTTTTACAAGGTTATTTTAGAAGACTCAATAAATGCCTAGTTATCGTAACTTTCTGATCCCGTTTTTTTACCTGTGGTGCTTTCAATCCACACAAGCAACTGTGTTCCAAACGGCTCTAAAGATAGAACCAGATCACTGGTGTCACGAGATAGTACATCAAGAGCGTGATACCGGACTTTTCACATGACTGTTAACTGGCGAATTCGAGCCAATAGCAAAAGTATCGCCGTTTGAAGACCGGAAACAGAAAGGGTGTAGAGCTGTTCGATCTTAGGTTTTCTTCGAGATATGAGAACAATTAACAGAATTCTGTGCCACCAAAATTGACCTCTCGAAGCGAGTGTTTTATTAAGAGATGAGTAACGAATTCAGTATCCTGCTGACAAGATGCAAGTCACGCACAATGGTGCGATCTACACACTTGTCTTGCACATGTAGTAATAAGGCTTTTTATCGACAGTAAAGTTCCACTGCGGCACTTTTTTGGCCTATAGCTGCTGTGCAATCCGAAGGGGCCGCTGGGGCTAAGATAATGCCGGTATGATCTAGCCACGCGGACATTCGAAGAGCTAAGGCTGGGTTCGAATCACGGAGCTTATAGTTCGTAGTTTCCTATCTTAACCACTTTGCCACCTGACCACTAGAACTGTAAAGCACTAAGATTTTTCAATCGACCGACAGTCACAATATGCGATGTAGGTGCCCACAATCGTCCTTGACTCATTTAGGAAGTCAGCAGTTAGTTAGCCTTTGGACTTTTAGATAGATGGAATCAACTGAACACTTGTGTGGGTGTGTATCACGTGTATCCTTCAAAGCCAATCGAATGAAAGATGTTGGCAGGTACAGATCCAGAGATATCTGCAACAGCCGTGATCCACAGAAACCTATTTCAAGCGCACATGCGTCTGCCAGCTGGCCCATCCAGTAGCAGATGGAACGAGACGTGTGCAAATGAAACGGTATTTCGCCAAGAAGCTGAACCGAACTGATACACATGCTGGATTTAACAAACTCTGCAAACCGCACTGTTAAACCCAGGTTGGAAGGCAAGTAATCCGTGTTTAAACAACGGTAAGAATCGTGGGGGGTGCAGTGATCAACAAATCTAGCAGTTCCGTGCACTTTACTTGAATACCGATTAAATATATGGCAGTTTTTGGGCGGTCTACAAACATCTGGCCCACGTAACAATAATTAAATGTAATAGAATAAAGAACAGCTCCGAAAAAATGAAGCAGCCAAGTGCGCTCACCTGAACAGAAGTGACCTCAAGCTTTTGTTCATCCAAACGGATCAGGTGATGCCTGTCACAAAATGGCAGAAGAAGGACGAAACCTGTGACAGAAGGAAAAATAAGTCATACCGTTATGCATAAGTTCAACAAGCTCACAGAGTACAAACACAGTGGAGTCCACCCACCGAGAGAGACTGCGCGCTACATTGTTAAAGCGACAGTGAACCAGAGGGAACCAGAGAGGTCATTCAATAAACCACGCTTAACTCCAGAAACCCCTTCTTGGGAAGAACTTTGGACGAGACGTATACTCGCGGTTAAGTGGTTCCTTGCCATGGGCGCCGTTCGTCTCAATACAACGAATAGCATGATAAACAGACTCCCCGGAAGAAATATGTTATTGGTTTTAGCTCCGATACATGTTTGTCTCATATGAGATTCTTAAATCCATTTTCTCAAAGATTTCTCAACTAGTGAAACAACGATGTCCAGAAGATGAATCCCTAAGCTATGAAATTAGAAAAGTCCTATCAGCCAAATAGGGTCACGAGGGCAAATGGTACAAAATGCTCACAGATTTTGTATACGTAGATAGTATTACATTGATACCCATCAGCTCACTTTGAGCTTCGGTAAGCAAAGAGGAAGAGATACGAGCTCCCAATAGCACGATCCTAACCGCTCTAGCCCACGTCAAGGTCATTCGACAGTATTTCAACACACGGTACTTACCAGGACCTTTGAGTTTGAGACGTCTCCCCAGACGAAACACAATCAGCCGTTCGTTGTCCGACAAGTGCTACAGAAGATCGGAATAGGAAGGTCAACTGATTTATATTGATGAAAGCAGGGCACGGGGAGAACGCATACCATCAACACTTAATCAACTTGAGCATTGGATGAAAACGAATTAGCTCCTACTTACTACCTCCACAGTCTAGATATACATTCGTAAAACAACTCTATCATTGTAAAGTGTTCAACCGAATAAAATAAAATAGAATAAATAATCGCTCAGCTGTAAAACACCCTTTCGGTGCCTAGCTACCATGCTACCAGAAGGAAACACAAGGGGTGAAGTGTTATCATGTTGTCCAAGCCTAGACAGGAGTAGTCGAGATGCCAGGGTCGAGTTCGAAGGACGCAACCTCCGGTTGGTAAGTTCGCGCTTTACCCACTGAAGCATCTGGAGCTCGAACTTAATAAAACTATTTTTGCGTCAAACTCATTCGGTTGGTTTACTTCACAACGGGGAACATGGAGGTTTAAAGAATATCGGGCAGTAATCACTATACGCAGTTTGTAACTACTGCCCAATTGAGAAGAGATGAGATAAATCATGTTGTTTTTACAGCATTTTAAGGGGGCCTTTGGTATGAAGTGGTGGCAAAACGAAGTCATAGAACCATAAGCTAGCTCCAAATCCAGAATTTCTTCCCAGGGAAACCGTGTCAGAGGAATCCTAGAGATGCGGTCCGACGGACAATACTGGATGTGCCGGTGGAAACACTGGGAATTGCGGTACACCAACTTCAACAAAGGTGAGGACGATAGCAATTCCGGTGGAATAAAACTTACCTTAATGGAGAACCAACACAAGAATGGGAATAACAAAATCAGCAGAAGCAGGGACAAAGCGCGAAGAAGGATTGATAATCCGGCACTAGAAGCTTCCCTCACGTGGGTTCCGAGAGGGTCTTCGTGATCGACCAGAAAATTTCCTGAGTAAAAATGTGAGTGAAATCAAAGTACAGTGAAGTCACACAATCAATCGAGGTCAATTAATTGATACACGCGCTAACCATCCGAAATGAGTGTTTCTTTGGCAAAATTCGCGAAAACGACCGCCTTGCGGCTTGGAATAAGTCCCACATGAAAAACGAGGTATCAAGGAGCAGGTGCGGCGAACGAATCATATCTGGTGCTATTCTTGGGAAAAACAATGTACAGTTTTAGTGCTATGTAGATGTTGACCAGCAGCATGGTCAGAACACGTTCTTGTGTTCCCATATAAACTATAACTGAATGGTAACGTGAATGTCCCTATGCGCCATATAGAAGCTAGACTACCGATACTTTTGGACTGGCGGTGACTGAGAAAGATATAGCAGTCAGCTTCAAAACTCACGGCAAGTTACGAGTTTGGCAATCTCTCAAAAAAGTACATAAGAAACCCACTTCATAAAGATTGAACGACACGTCCAAAAACTGATATCGGTTACACAGGCTTGATACTCGGTCAAGCAGACTGGAAGACAACCATTTACCAAGATAAAGATAAAGAGGTAAGGAATCCAACGAGTGCTGAGGTGAGAGTTGGTTGCCGATGGATATCTTGATGACAGAAATATGAACACGACTTTCTTCAAAAAATACGAGTATCAGTAATATGAGACAATCAATTGAATTCACCTTTGCAACATGTTCACTGTCTCCAAAAACTAAATGTGCGGAGGCGCCGCACAAACGTTTGAGGATAATTCCCCTTGTGCAGCAGAAATACGATGCAAGTGGTGAAGGCTAACTGAAGGCTTCATTTAACCAAGTTGCGAATTCGGTTTCCAGTGAGAACAGCCATAGACACTAGAGGTAGCCAGTCACCGTCAGTGTTTTCTGTCTCAAGGGTATGGAAACAGTTAATGAACAGTCAAAAAAGGGTTGATTGGAAATCAGTCAAAAAGGACAGACATTGCGATTATCCGACGTATAGGCTTCGTGGTTGTCTGGTGTACTTCAGTGTAATCTATAACGCACAGTTGGCTGCGAAGAAATTAAGGGTGAACCACAACCTAGCAGAAGCTGATATATCAGCACAAAGATACAACAAGAGTAGTCCACAGAAACAGCAGTTCGAAATTCCCGCAACAAAATAACGCGATGTTTATAGGAGGTAAATAGAACTCAACAACAGAATTGACAATATTCTCTAACTTTTTGTGAAAATTTCATGAAATCCTCAAGGTTCTGTATGAACGCCAACTTCTGACAGCTATTTGGTAATTGATCAGGTGACTGTTGATCTGTTCACCGAGCTTGGCAATTGATTTGCAGACGTTTCGTCACCGTTGGAGGAGACATCTTCAGTGCGCTGTTGGTTGGGTAGTTCCTCTCTTCGTGCCTGCGTTTATATAGTTTACAAAGAGCAGCCGTTGCGCTGTAACCGGATTGGCCATTAACAATCATCCTACTTGGATTCCAGTTGGTCTGATCATAATCTGTGTCGCGTTGTGGCTTGTATTCCTTGCTTCCTACGACCGCGCTTCTGTTGAAATTGGCGTCCATTGTTGTCTCTTCCGGTTGGCCCGTTCGTAATCTGTATTTCGTCGTGATCGGCTTCTTCGTTGTCTGATTGGTTTGTGGTGTACCTCCCATTTTTAGTAGTTTGTTGTTCTATTGATTTCTTCTTTGACTCATTGATCGGCTCCAGCTTTTGTGGTTCTGGACCTCCTGTCCTCAGAGGGTGGTAGACAGGATCGATCTCAATGCGTCTGTTTATTGCTTCATCAGTGGAGTACCACGCCTCCATGAACTCGCGTTCTTTCTTTGTTCCTGCCTGGCCCAGTATGCTGACGCTATTTCAATCAAATTTATGTACCTCTCCATATTCGTGTGCAGAGATGAGAGAGAGTTGGTCGTGTCTCCTAGTGGCAAGCTTGTGTTCGTCGACTCTGGCTGGTAGTTTTCTCCCTGTTTGTTCCACGTAGTGTTTCTCATAATCGTTGCATTGAATTTTGTAGATTACATTTGTCTCTTCCGTCGCATTAAGTATCCCCTTTGATTTTTATAGTGGCCTTCGCAGCGTGTCAGTCGGTCTGTGGACAAATTTTATGGCATGCTGTCGTAGTATCCTGGCGGTCATCTCCGAAATGCGTTTGATACATGGTAGTGTGATTGTTTTGCTTGTGCTTCCGGTTGTCCAGTTGGTTGAACTGCATTTTCTCAGAGATCTCCAGACGAAATTCATTGGGCAGGCACGAAGAGAGGAACTACCCAACCAACAGCGCACTGAAGATGTCTCCTCCAACGGTGACGAAACGTCTGCAAATCAATTGCCAAGCTCGGTGAACAGATCAACAGTCACCTGATAAATTATCAACTGATGCACCCGAGGTACCAATATTCCAACCCACTCTGAGAGCTATTTATGAACCTGTAACAACGTAATCAGTTCGAACCCTTGTGAGCTCTGTTGGTATCATTTATAACAAATAATTGTGAAGAACCATCTGGGGAAGTTGATCACTGAGTTCAATCGGATCCACCGGAAATCCGGCGAAGAGTAATCGCAGCGTACAGCCTTTTAATCCTCATCCAAAAGACTCCGTAAGAAAAAGTTAATTACACTCTATTGTATTCAAAATACCTAACGTTATAGTACTCCTTCAAAACAGGGATTTTAATGTCCACAATTCTAGTGGTAATCGGTGCATGAAGCGGCTGCCCACTCAATTACAGCTTGCAACTGGAACGATACCTGCGTACTGTAAAAGAACGAATATAGGAAGAAAAAAGCACAATCTGCAACGATGTGGCTGCCGAAACAGATGCAGGGAAACGGAAAGTCGGTTTGGCACGCCAGTAAAATCTAGAGAAAAACACGTTCAATTTTGTCGATTCGGTTCAAACATAGCCAAGAAAAAAATGTATCACGTACTCCCAGTAAGCTAGCTACAAATCCACTTTTGTCCAGTACGGCATTCTGAAGTCGCTACTAAGGTGGTAATTTTACAGGAACCAAAATCGAATCAGTAAACTTGTTTGCCATGAATGTAATGTCTTTTACACGCTTCCTGTCCAGTAAACTTTCATGGGCCTCAATAAATCGGAGAAGGTTCTCTATTGCAATTCCTTTGAGTGAATCGCAGTAATCCGGTCCCTTTTTAGAATACGAAAAAAGTGCTCACAAACAACAAATATTGATAAGCAAACTACCCACCTGTAACTGGCAGCTCAGAATAGGTGAAGATGGTCTTATATTGAGGCGAACTGTCTGCTTCCGTGTCCCATATAGTGTTCCCAGTAAATTCGAACGCCGGGGGAAATTCATAAGGAAGTGTACCACTAATCAGTTTGGATTCGGTTGGAGGGGGGCCGAAAAGATCCGACTGTCCAAAGGACAAAGCCTGCTTGGCTTCTTCTCGTCGTGTCTTGTCTTCATAGGCGAAAATATACTCGGTGGCTTCGACCGCTTTATCACCGTCAGATTTTCCTTTGCGAAACAAGCTCCTCAGATGACCTTTGAATGGCAATGGTGTAGCTGCCACTTCCATTCGGAACAATAAGAGTAGATGAAAGTCGATGCCGGACTAGCACATTTGTACCTGTTTAGGGATAAAGCTGATTATGTGGTGTTAGATACAGGGAAAGCTAAACAAACACATGAGTTTAATGTTCGTCAATCAAGCCACTCAATTATCGTTTGTTAAACCATACGCCTGTGTTGCGACTTGCTTACCATTACCCTAGCGAGGACTGCGGAAGTGGAGGTGACAGCGTTGGCACGAGTATTTGTAACAGCCTTTACCACTGCCCCACTGCTACAAAGAGGGTCTTCGTTCTTGTTTCTGAATAAAAAAGGATCAAACCAAGCTACACTCTCAAAGGAATCATGCACATTTTCCTGTTGTGCAAAAGTTGCATTCGTCATAATTTTGGTTCCCGCTTCCACTGGAGTGCAGCCTCTGTGATAGGCTCTTCTGAATTTCGAGTAAGCCTGTCACGAGGAGACTGGACCTTACCGTGGTGTGACGGTTTGCGCACCTCAGCGATCCATCGAGCCATACTGGGGAGTGTCCCTGTGACACTCACAGAGTCTCTCATACCAGGCTGGTCAATGGTAAGAGGTCTGACGGAAACAGTCACCTGGACATCCAGGTTCGGGGTTGGTTCGCTTCCGGCTGCTCTAAGTGATTGAGCTAACAACTCCGTCATTCTCCAATCGCTTTCGGCTGCGCACCTCTCGTGATCCTGAGGCTGCTGCGGCGGGATATGCAGGGGTTGGTGTCGTGCTAAGTCACCGGGCGGAAGTATTCTTACTTGGCTGGATACCTTCTCATAGTCGCCTCTGTGCGGTTCGTCTGATAACGTCTGCGAAGGGGTCTCACAAGTGGCAAGTTGATAGATGTCTGTTTATCGTGTCTGCCTACGCCCAACTGACTGTAGCTCCGACGCCGTCAAAGACAGGTTTTACGACGCCCTAAATGCTCTGCTGCGGCGAGCTAAAAGCTCAGACATCGTGGTGGTTACCGGAGATATCAATGCACAAAAGGGAAGGCTTGGTGTATCTGAGACTCAATTGGGAGGTCGACATGGATTGGACTAGATACGTACGGAAAATGGGGACGGCTGCTTCAGCTGTGTGCTGATCGCAGACTGTTTTTATGTAGTACTAACTTCTGAAACAACCGAAGTCGTCTGGCCACATGGTATCCGCCAACGGCAGCCGGTCACAAACTCAAATCGACTGCATTGCCATCAGTTACCGATGGCGCGGATTAATAACTGACTGCCGATCGTTTTGGAACACATTTGTAGACTCTGACCACGCGTTCGTCCGGAGTCGCTTCTCCCTACGTTTTCCAGGGCTGCGTAAGGTGCGGACAAGTCGCTTGGCAACTGAGAGACTGGCAGATCCGGATGTAAGACGAATTAAACAAAATCATTTTCTAGAGTCTCTCTGAAATGATTCACCATCAGATGTGGACTCATACTGGGACGAGATTGATACCCCTTTGAATAGCGCTGGGAATTTTGCCTGTGACTCGAACCAACCAGGCGCACCCAAGCACTGGATATCAGACCGAACGGTGGCACTGCTTAAATCTCAGAGAAACATCCCGGCCGGCTCCGAACACAACACGGTGCGAAGAGTCATCAGAGGTCAAGTGGAAGTGAGCGTGAAGTGTGGTGGACACAGAAAGCCAAAGGAATGAAACAGGCCCAGAGAGCCGGTAATGCCCGGAGAGTATTTCAGTTGATCCGTGCGACCGGTCCCCGGGAACCACCTGTGAGTGAAACAACCAACCATCAGAATGGAACGACCATCTCGAATAAAGTAGAACGCCTCGACCGGTGAGCTGAATACTTTGAACAACTGTCGTACCCACCAGCTGGCACTCACCCAGAGCCCACAGGTAAAGTAGTACCCTGGACGGTGAACATGGAGCCACCTAAGGCCACGGAGGTTTACNAGCGTGAAGTGTGGTGGACACAGAAAGCCAAAGGAATGAAACAGGCCCAGAGAGCCGGTAATGCCCGGAGAGTATTTCAGTTGATCCGTGCGACCGGTCCCCGGGAACCACCTGTGAGTGAAACAATCAAGCATCAGAATGGAACGACCATCTCGAACAAAGTAGGACGCCTCGACCGATGGGCTGAATGCTTGGAACAACAACTGTCGTAGCCACCAGCTGGCACTAATCTAGAGCCCACAGGTAAAGTAGAACCCTGGATGGTGAACGTGGAGCTACCTAAGGCCACGGAGGTTTACGGCTGCATATGTTCTCTCAAGCGCCGCCGAGCTCCTGGTCCGGATGACCTCCCGCGCGCACTGTTCAAAGACGGGGGTGAAGTCCTCAGTCAGCGCTTGTCCGATTTATTTGCTTGCATTTGGGAAAAGGAGTCTGTCCCAGACAACTGGGGAGAGTCGGTGATAGAGCCCATTTTCAAAAAAAGAGTGCGTGGTGAGTGGGGTAACCACAGGGGGACCAGCTTGACCTCGGTCGTAATGAGACCGTTGGCGTCAACTGTGCTTCATCGCCTTATTGTGGCTCGTGAGATACCGACTCGAGAGCAGCAAGCGGGATTCCGACCTGGTAGGGGTTGCGTGGACCAAACCTTCACACTCCGTCAGGTGCTAGGACAACGCCATACGTATTAGTGACCCAAAACTCTAGTATCCCTGGATTTCCGAGGCATATTTGACTCGGTTGATCGATCTATTTTTTTGACACGGTTGTCCACTAAGGAATGCTCCGGAAGTTTGTAAACATAATACGTTCTTTGTATTCTTAGACATCCGGACCTGTGAGAGTGTACGGAGAGCTCTCCAAAAGTTTCCGTACACAAAGCGGTGTCCGTCAGGGATGCCCACTCTCTCCATTCCTTTTTAACTTCGTGATCGATGAAACAATGAGACGAACGCTGGAGGGTCACCAAAACCCTGGTGTTCAAATAGCCTGTGAAGAAAACCTTATCAATCTGGAGATCGGCGAATCCATAATGGGGCAGTGAGAAAGCGTCTTCGGTTGTGCAACGAGTACTTCATTGAAAAATTTGTCCAGTACCAGAAGCTGCGTTGATTGGAACATGTGTTACGTATGCAGAACCATCGTTTGTCGAAGAGAGTACTGTTTTTTATACCCAATTCAAAGTGGCGTAAACAAAGCGGTGACCAACTTTGGACTTGGCAGATAAGTATGGAGAAGATCACGAAACGCTTGGGTGCAGTTGGTACTACTCGCCTTCCAGGATGGGGACCGCGTGATTCTCAATGTGCTTGGTTGGAGACACTACAAGGTATGGCTGCCAACCGATGCCAGTGGCGTTCTTGTTGTCAGTTTCTATGCATATTGCCTGAGTGAATGTCTGAAGGTGTAGGCACCTCGGAATGGTTGTCGTAAGCCAGCACCAAGTCCCTTCTCCGTCTACCTTTACTCTTTTATTTACAATAAGGCTTTCAAATAAATTATGGTTGTACGGCAGTGAAGCATCGGTGTTAAACACTGATGTCATGCTCTCGGTGATGACGATGATGATGGTTTCGGGTTAGGTTCTTGAGTCGATTGCACTGGCTACTCTTGTCCTGTTGGCTAAATGTCTCATTACGGCATTATTGATCTAGTTTCCCACTTGCACACAAATCACACTCCAAGGAACACATAAATACTCGTTTGCCTACAGCCCGGAACCAAATGATCTACACAACGTATAACAGAAAAAATCAGGGTGTATCTGGATGACGTAAGTCTGAAGTATGCAATCAATATGTTTCACGCAGCTGCATTCAACACTTCGCTGATCTCTAACATTCAGTCTTGCGACAGGTAAATTGTGCAATCCCAGCTGAAGGCATTGTCATACTGACACCAGACTGTGTAGCGGGTTAGTGGCTTTTTCCTCCTATCGTGTTTAAAAACGATAATAACTAAAAACTGAAAACTTAATTTTCGGTGCGCAAAACTACCACTGATTTGACTTGGGGGTACCAGAAGAACTTGAAAAATGCCAGATGGCAAATTTTACTCGTATACACAGAATGCATTAGATCCAAATGTGTGAAGCAGAGGTGCAGCAACATCGTTACCTTCATTTTACGGTTTCCAAAGAGAACCGTTCGGCAAGGCTCATTCACGCCCACAAGTACCCGGGTTTCGGTGCATAGGTCATATATGTGCACGCTACCGACTATTCAATCACCACACATGAAAGATATCGTGTTCCTGTGGCTACAAGGCCCATTCAGCTAAGTCAGTTACGTCGTTGACCTCCAGTCCGTAGACTCCGAATCTACCAGAAAAAGGGGGCCGGATCCTCACCAGTCTTTTTGCTCCTTGGTGGGTGTTGTTTCGTCATGCTTATATAACAGTTGGCAGCCAGTATTGCTGACAATAATGAAAGTGACTATGGGGTCCGGAAATATATTTCTGTGAGTTTAAATTTATTCACGAAAACCAGAGGACTATAACGGCGTCTACTTGACCGTTAGAAACAGGCAATAGATTATCAGGTAATTGCTCCGTCTGGTACTAAAGCTAAGTGCCTTATTCAACAGGTATAACACGTATTCTGCACTCAAACTGCTCACAATGAAAAAGAGGACAAAAAAATCATGTTTCTGATGAAAAAACAGGACAGTTCAGCATAATTCACTTATGCTTTATTTAAAAACGAATAAGGTTCGCCCACGGCTCAGCTAAATTCATACAGCTCAGTTGAAGAGTGAGGAAAGTGTCTGAAAAATGAGCGTCCGCTTAAATCCCCTACGTCAAGGGCACCAGAGCGAATCACCTGGGTATTAACCTACTCAGTATCGCTTCCGTTCAGCCCACAGACAAGATCCTGCGTGGGCTCGCTGGGAGTCACAAAATTCAGGTTTATATTAGGCACTCTGGGCAGAATAACGGAGGCCAGACCTCACAAATTGCGGATCACTTGATCCCAAAGCCAATAATAAGAAACAATGAAAGGATTACCAGACACTACCGCATTCAGGACTACCTACGTCATCACTTGTTGATATAGTGGTCCCTCATGTGAGGCCAAGTGACCCAAAGTACACCAGAACCCTTAGCTTGGTGCTGTCTACATACATGCAAGGGAGAATAACGGATCCACCCATAAATACAAGGACCAAGAGATCACGGTCCAGAGTACCCTATAAACGAAACAGAGGAGTAACATCCCTACAGTTGACCGAATGAAAACATCCACTCATCAGGCAATTGCACAGTATAGACTGAATGGTCAGACCAAATCCTCGATTAACAAAAGTTTACAGAAGCCTGCACGGGGATCCACGTGTCTTACAAGTTTCAAAAACCAAAGGAGGGAAGTTGTAGGTACATCTATTTCTTCAACATACCTTTGGGTAGTAATACGCGCCCGATTGGATAACATAACAACTCAAATGCCAGGACGTAGGATGAAAGAAGTGAATAACAGTAGAGATATGTATATTGGCGCTATTGATAGAAACTACATAATGCAACGAGTGCTGACCATATGTGTTTGGAAGATCGGATATAAACAAGTGGTGTTATTCGACCGAAGTTGCGAATCAGCAAGTTAACCTGAGAAGATAGCAAAATTGAAATGCATGGACACAACTAGGATAGGGAAACGATGGTAAAAGCACCCAAGAGGTTCCGAAATAACTATTGAACTCTGCGGAACCAGTAGCGATATGCAACGATAAAAAGGAAAGTAACACCAGTAGTTATGGCTGTACAAATGATAAAGGCTCCACGGGGACTTCGAACAAATCCATTCTCAGAAAAAAATCGACCTAAACGGCGTAAAACCCGTGCAGGAATCCAACGCTTTCTTTCTAGGTCCGCTTCACGCATCATCTGCTGGGTATGCTCAATATGTTTTTGAAGTCGGATTCGCCGTTGTCTCCGTGCGTCGCGGCGGATCCGCAAAGCACACGCCGCTTCTAGATATTCAGACGTCAATGAATCAAGCTCGCCCCCTTCGACCTGATCATTTTCTGGCAAGGGAGAATTACCCTGGTCATCCAGTCCAGGCGATTTTGACAAATCAGTGGGAACAGTCGATAGTAAGTTGACTTCTGAAGTCGGATGAGACTGTTCCGCCTGTTCACAATAATTGTCCACCTGCTGCATCAAAATTGCATGCGCAGTGCAAATAACGCTGCTTTTTACTGAAACAGAAATACCATCAAGCGAATAAATCTGGCTGGAAAGCATGTCGACGGGCCAGGAAAACCCATTTAAGGCTATGTATGTTGTGAAGCACACACACACGGTGAGCACAAGGTGAAAATTTCATGCAAAATGGCCAAAAAGTTAAGGGGGGATTGAGAAGAAAGCTAGGTAATCCAATAAAACCGTCGCGGTGGTCCCCATACTAAGTTTTCATGAATTTTCAGCCAAATGTTATCAATCTAAGGTGGGCTTGTGTAGACCATTCGTAACATATGGTCGCCTAACAGCACCGAAGTAGCCGTACAAACTCGACTCCTCACAAGTGTGCTTGCACCTATACTCAACCGAGCGTGATATTCAATGCGGTTTCGAAGATTGTCGCAAAATGCATCTGCTCGGGAGTTAAGCCCCAGCATTAGACAGTCTATGTTCAATGCTCAAGTACAGGTATAATACTTCCATACCATTTGAACTTGGTAAGAATATACTGTCCGATTATTAGCGAAATAAAAACACAGTAGCTCTTTTCGAAAGCCTTTTCCAGAGATCCCTTTCAACCGAACTCACGAAGATCGTGCTAAAGTCCGGACTCCTCGCAAGGTTAGCCCAAACTTTTACCGCGCACCGTCTGTTTGGCGACATCGCGCGATTCCAAACACATCACTTAGAGTGCTCCGGTGATATTAGTAATTAAAGGAAACCAATTAAACCTATGACTAATATGCTCTACTGACCACCAACGAACTATGGAAAACAAGAGTGAAAAATATCAGAAGCTCACTGAATTTGATTGTTCAAACGGCCGCTCGCTCAATGAACACTTGGCTAGGAAAAGTCCACACGAACTCAAGCACTTGTTGGTGGACGTTGTGGAAAATTACGTATTGACGAAGATACATGCAGTATTGCCAATGACCATCTCTGGCCAAGGTACCAGAGTCACTTTTCGAGTAAACATCAGATATAAACAGGGTTAGGTTTTTCGCGTCTGGAACCCATGACAAACGACAATACAGCCAGTATACAATTAACACCTAGCCCAACGCGATCCCAAGCCCACCTACTATGTGCAGTAGCAGTAGTAGTAGCTATGCCTTATCAACTGTGGCCCAATACGGAGAAGCAGAACCAGACTGGTGAGTCCCTGGCTGCAAGCAGCACCTACCAAGAAAGCGCAACTGCTTCACAGGTCGAAATTCTGTGTCAATGACCAGAGAAGAACCCCCTGAACAAGGCCTCTCATCCTCCCACGTTGTTGTGGGTTGTACTCTGAAGTCAAAATCCTAAAATGGGTCAACTCAACTGGACCTCTTCATCGGTCTAAGTAGTAGTATCCCTAGTCCCATAGTTCCATCTGGGGCGCTGTATCCGTCCCGGAGGTTTGATCAAAGACAACGTCGTCATTCAGGTAGAAGCTATGGCGGCTCTTGCCAACTTGCAACACCTGTGATGTAGACGTGACATCGGTTTGTCGGCCAGGGGTCGAGTTTGCAATGCTGCAGCCAGGTCTATATTGTTTGAGCCAGAAACCGGGCTCCTGTGACCTGAGAATGTTAAAAACCCTCGACGTTTGACTCAAACGGCTTTCGAGACGAAGCCCGAATCTGGTGAGAATACCATATCAGTAATGATAAACGATACTGGGAGGTTTCCTACCATCGCACGCGATGGACAAACTTATGACAATCTATAGTCAATTGCCAGTGGGTCGATTTTCCCTTCGAGGAAACGAGAGGGCGGAAAAGAGCTAGCTTAGTTCAGGCCACGATTTGGTACGAAAGTATGAAAACTGCCATGAACAAACTCACTTACGCTGTTCGTTGTCATTTATCTGAGTAAAGGTCCTAACAGAGAACACGTAAACGGTCTGACACACCGGCAGACATTACCTAGTCCCACGCTCAAAGGCTCACATACACCCAACACATAGCCCCCTACTTCAATCTACCAAAAAGTAACAAGCTCATTATCGCCCCTGGAGTAACTCAATAACTTCCTTCAATGCGTACCTATCCTGTTACTCAAAACCATCGGCAAACGAAACTGTAGCAGCTAGAATCACTGTACATGCACACGGTTTACAGCTGACGGTGTGTCCGTCAGCTGAGAATTTCGCACTGATATAGTCTGCTTATCTCTTCTTCGATGGTGCACAGTATTCGCGTTAAAAATGCCTCGCCAAATACTATCTATAGGCCACGTAAGATGAGGGTCACTTTCCAAAACACTGTTGTTCAGGTTCCAGTCCTAAGCTGTCGGCTTCTGTAACGAGTCCGCTTATTTATCAATCCTCGCTGCGGAAGTTCTGCGTTGTCTATGCTGGGGCGACATGGCCCAAGTGGTTGGAGCGCAAATTTACTGCCAGAAGCTCCCATGGTTCGAACCTGACCTCCGCCTCTCGACTTCCCCTGTCTATGCTTAGGCGGCCTGGCAGTATCCCAGCCCTCGTGCAACCTTCGGACGGCATGGCAGTTAGACACCGAAAGGGTGCTACAGCTGAACGAGTTACGATTGACAACGGAGTCCACTGGAGTGCCCAATTGTCACTGCCACTACATTACCAGTGGGGCGGCTGTGTAACGCTGTAGTAACCGATAGGGAAAGCTAATAAAAAAAACTCGCGACTGATTAGGCAATATCCACCTGAGTCCCATGAACGAAGTTCACCTTATCATTCACATCTTCGAATGCAATTCTCATTGGCTTGAAGATAACCAGGCCGTTCACGAGGATCTCAAAAAGCTTATAATAACACTTACTACCCTCAGGTAGCCAAGCTCCTGGCGAATTCCAGCAAAATCAGCAGCCAAAGAGGTACATTTTGCCCACGCGCAAAAACTTGTATACCTACTAATCGGCGTGCGGATGTTCTACTCAGATATGATTTTCTCCGAAATCATGACTGTTGAAATTCCATTCGACGTCACGAACGCAAACAAACAACCAGCGTAATTCTAAGATTTCAGGTAGGCCGGGGAGTATTTCGAAATATCGGTTTAATTCAGCGTAGCAGAAGCAGTTTAGTAGCTAAAACGGGGAAAAATATAAGTAGAATGAAACGGAAAAACGCTAAATGGTCTAGAAAATATTCGGCACACTGTATGTCTGTCTATGTGTGGACAAACCGTTGCAAGAACAATCCCCCAGTTTGAACATCTTGCCCCTGTTTTCCGGTTGATAAGAGACAAATCTGGAAACCAGCGTCAAGGACGAAGATTTCATCCAGCCTGAACTTTTTCGACTAATCAAGCAGTACCGTCGAACTACCAAGATCCCCTCAGACAGCAGAGGTGCTGTAAAGAACCAAAGTTATGGAAAGCACATGGTTGTTGACTACATCCAGATAATAAATAGATTCACTCAGATTGGTGCTTAACCACTACCTCAAATAGATACCACAACCAAAAGGACTTCGCACTTTTTGATACAATTAATTTTGGAAACGTTTTGTATCAGTTTCCCATTATGAGCAGTGAAAAACTCCATATTATTTCTGGAGCATGCAATAACCTCTAAACTGTGGTCGCACCCCGTTCGGCGTCACAAACGGAGTGACTGATTTTCAACGCGACATCCATTAAAGCTATACATGAAAAGCTCATACTACGTTTGTGGTAGAGGAAATGGCATGAATTTGTATGAGTTTTTATCTGGCGTAGAGGAATAAGGACTCATTTTGAACAGTAAAAAACGCACGCATATTTCTGGGCCGCTGAGTTTACGGAGTTTCTTACTTTACAAAATTACTGGGTTTATTTGACCACTGCACTCATTTGCATACCAATTTAGATTTCACGCAACATTTACCTGAATCCCAGCTGAGTCTCTCATTTATGGTGTTCCTCTGGGTTCGTGTTTACTGGGTTACAAAATAGCTGTGAACGCAGAAAAATCAGACCCTGTGCAACTTCAGGCCCTACCGGAGTTGACGGTAGCCGGTGATCCAAAAGCTGGGCAAACGGTTGGTGCGTCCACTTACCACTACTAGCGAAATATATCCCGATCGAATCTATCTTATTTTCCCTGGTGCTGCTGTAGCGTACGAAAGCTTGAAAGCGGAGTTGATGCGAACAGAAGTCGTCACTGTTGATAGAGACAGAGGGTGGGGATCAAAACTGACATCAGATGTTTCTGGCTAAACGACAATGACAATAAGCAACCCGTCGTTTTTCTTTCCCGAAAACGCTGTCTTCCTCCGGCTGTAATCAACCATCACAAGTAGCTGAGGTCATTCGAAATGGTGGCATGATCTCCCCGCCAAACACTTGCTTGTGACCAAAGATTTTCGTCTTCATATACGACACAAAAGTGAACCAAAATTCTTCTTAGAAATTCGACGCTGAAAAGTCGGTACTTACTTTTTCTATCACGCATACCGACGTGGAGTTAAAGGGGAAACTGCTAAAATGGTTTCATCAAACAATAACAGTAGCATGACCTCTGTTCCAGCTGATTGAAGGCTGTTAATACCTGGTGGCGCAGGATTTGCTCTTTGGGTTCTCTGTATGACACCCTTTGTAACCCATGCGTCATCAATCGCTCGCACTGTTCTTTTGTTCTAAGATTAGCCATTCGAGCACTTACTCTGGAAAGTGCATGGAAAGCCCAAAAGCAATCACAGTCCTACGTGAGCTCTGAAGCATTGTTATACGACTGCATCATAGAACAGTCTAAATTCACCACTTCTCAGGCTTGGCTGCTTCTGATAGATTTTTTCTGTGAACATAACAGGCATCCTCGTTTTCAGTGTTTGGTTCGTGAGGCAGTGTGAGAAATGCGATAAGGGAGAATTCCAGAAAGCTCACGTGCCTGGATTTCTTTATAAGCTCTTTGTGTTACCTTTACTCACTACTGTCACAGCCCATAATTTTTTGCCACCATTGGAAGTATCTGTCGATACTGGTAGTCCTGAAAACTACATACCTTCTTACGCTGTGCATCTTCACAAGTAGAAGACTTGAGCGTCCTTGTGGTGTGATGTCCCAATTGGTGATGATTTCCTACAACTCCACGAAAAGCTGAATATTTCATTTGGGGAAATCAAGCCACCCATCTCTGTGTGGTGTTACGGCGACCCGATCAGAGTCTTAACCACTCTTCGAGACTTTGTCTGCTGGCTGCAATACCAGGCCAATATGACAGTGTGTTGCTGATGAGGTATTCATTCGTACGGGAGTCGCTCGTTTGTTGAGAGTGGCACAAGTGCTCGTTACTTCCAGTGATAGACATAAAGGACGTCTTGTTTTTCACTACAGCTTTGCAATCAACAAGTACGCCTAACTTGACCGCATTGCCATTAATCAATTAATTGATAAATAAAATGGCTGTTTTCAGCAAACTGAATACAAAAATGCGTACTATCATATCCTGCATAAACAATACGGATATATGCTGCTATCGAGGCCTGTTGGAGCTCATGTCAATTCCGCAACATTCCGTTTGGAGTAAGGAAGAGGCAGGACCAGCCCGATTGTCTGACTGAGTGCTGGAAATGTACTACCTGGAATCTTTGCTGCAGTCCATCCCTTTAATGGGCCGCCAACTCTTCCTATTTCTGTCTTCTTTCGATTATGAGGCCTCTTTGAAATGAACTAGTATGGTCATACGGAAGGGAAGCACCAGTGTTTTAATCCGGTTTTGCTGTCAGTGATAAGGATGAAGTGTTCTTCAAAGTGTTCGGCGCATTGTTCAATACATTTTTGTGAATGAATTGAGGCCTTCTCGGAGATACTCTGGCTAGCACCCGCTCTCTTCGAACAAGTCGATTGGACTAACTAGAACGGCGTGATTATTCCCCGTTGTAAAAAAATTTCTGTATTTCCCGGACATTTGTGATCCTCTTACTCAGTCTCTCTTTCAATCCTTAGGCTATTCATTATCCGGCGTTTGAAGGATCTACGCGCCCCACCATAGTGGTATGTTGTTGGCGTGTTTCTCCTGGCTCGTCAGAGCTTCTAATAGTGACAGGATCCAGTGTTTATCGAGGTATGAGAGCAACCTCGGGTAGAGAACATCACAGGCTGTACTCATGGCTTATTCCACCCTTCTCTATTCATCAACGGAATCTCCATTGTGCCCACAGAGTTCTGGGAGATTACCAGTCAACTCAGCTCAATATTGTTGAGCTACAGATACGCTTGCAGGTGATGAAATGAATGGCTTTGTATTAATTGGTCTTCAGGGAACGGGAACGGATACGCGTGTCCGTATAATGCCATGATCGGAGTCGAGTAGAGCACCAACATAAACGACAATCTTGCATCGGATTTCTCCACCGGTTGCTGATAACCACATAGTCCGAATGATTCCATAGCTGGTTTGCAGTTAGCGGCCACCAGGTCGTACAATGTGAACGCTTGTGTTGCTCCTCATTATCTTTGCGGTAAGCGCCAGCCCCGAACTAGCCGCAAAAACGGGCTGCTTCAGGAGTTAATCGGTCGGCATGAGCACTCACACATGAGCCAGAATCACAATGTATGTACTCCAGAGAGCATCCGTGACAAATCACAATAGTAGCTGTATTTATCAGACTTAAAACTACCGTACGTCACAGTGGACAGTCATACAACAAACAAAATACCGTTTGACACGTCGAAATGCACTGATATTGAATGAACCAGTACATCTAATAGCGCAGATACGACTGTTTACTGAAATCCAGCCCAGCAGAGTGAATCCATCATCATCATCATAGTCAGCTATAATAACCGCGTACTCGTCGTACAGTGGTTGTAGCTTCCGCAGTTTCGTTCACCGATGGGAGTGGGGTAGGTAGCTACGCATTGCATGCAGGAGTTGACAAATTGGTGTATAAATCCAGCACTGTCAGTGGGCTGTCAAGTGGGGAGGGGTTGGAAAAGGAGCTATGCATTGAAGGCAATAGCTTGGATGCACGAGCGCCATTGAGGGTGCGACCGGGCCATGTCTGACAATGTCTCCAACCATTGATGTGGACCGTCTCGGGGTCCCCATCCAGGAAGATGACAATGACCAGCGCAGCTGAGTTTGCTGGTAATGGCTTTCACACTTCGCTGCCAAGTCATTGTTTGACCGCCTCTGGCTGTCTTCCACCCTTCACGTGGTTGTGCGAAAAGAGCCCTTCGAGGAAGTTGGTCGACTGGCCAGGCCAGCGCGACCTATTCAGTGTGATCAGTTCACCTATCGAGGGTGAGGTATTTCTCGCAAATACCATTCGACGTACTTCAGAATTGCTGATCCGGTGTTCCCAACAGATTCGGGCAGTGTTCCGAAGACATCGATGGTCAAACACTGAGTCTTTTGACGTCCTCGGCGCGCGGCGGCCGCCGCGGTGGAACGCACCGCAGTATTGTAAACTCGACCCTTGACAGAGAAGCTGATGTCACGCCTACGCCACTGGTAACGTAGGTTCGCAAAAGCTGCTCTGGCCTTCCCAATCTAGATGGAAATATCATCTTTCGCCAGGTCACCGGGATTGATACAGCTGCCCAGGTAAACAAATTTGTCTACTGCCTTAATCGGTTCATCCGCAAGCATGAGGCTAGGGTTCGAGCCCACCCAGTCTTGCAGTAGCACTTCGCACTTTGCAGGTGCGCGGAGCATGCCGAACCGCGAGGCAGAATTATTTAGATTATTTAGTGAGTGAGCTTCCCGTAGACCTATACACGGCCGCGGAAGTTGGCGTACAGCGCCTTAATGAGGGTCAAGAATTTATGGGGGACACCTTTGCTCCAGAGTCACCACATCAAGATCACCAGACACCAAAAGAATAAAGTACGAGAAACCTGGGTCTGTCCCGAGCTGTTTAAGTGCATGACCGTGTATCCTTGTTTCAGGGATAGAACAGACATCGGCCGAGAGAACAAGGACAATATCCGTATGACACAGAATAAGCATGTCGAAAGCAATAACGTGGAACAGATCCTTGAAGTTATTAAGGGTTAGTTTGGAAGCAGAATCTTCAATACGGAGCAACGACCAGATGACTTACAGCTGATTGGGACCTGGACGAGGGGTCTGGGATGAGCCAGTGGACGAACAGCTATGACGGCAAATGATACTTCCCGATTGTCCAGTCCGAAGGGGGTTTGGTTGAGCAGCCACACCTTGAGCCTGACCCACAAGGCAGATGGATGTGGTAAGGTTTTGTTTGAGGACCATCCTCGCAGCCTCTGATTCAAAATGCGGACCGCAAGACAGCGGTCGCTAGGGTGTCCTCGAGGGACCTTTAACGGCGCCAACGGCCTAACAGTCAGATCCACTTGGCTGTAGGGGGCTCGCCTTAGCCGAAGACGCAGTGAGTAATGCACAACTGACTTCTAATTCAGCTGCAACTAACAGGTACCTTTTGAGCAACAATAGACTCTAATTACGGCAGCAAAGCATCAGTATCGAGCACTGATGTCCTGCTATCGAGGATGATGACGATGAGACTAATTCAGAAGTATTTCGACCGTGTTGAGGAATACGGAGTGCGAGGCAGTGCGAGCTATCGAATCGGTATTGTTCTGACCCATAGTTCGCAAAATTGTGTTCGTTATGCTGCAGATGGTATGCAAAGAAATATTGGCTGATCAAACAGGTGCTCGCGCAGCATGCACACGGATGATCCTGCATGTAAGATATTGATTTCCGGGCAACGCCCAACTGGGAAATATAGACGAACAATGAATTGCCCATAAGTTGCCCACATGGGCTTCCCATGGGCCACATCGTTGCCAAGATTCATTGCACTAGCATGGTCGGAACATGATGTGCCTTCATTCCCAAGGCTGCCATTTGTTGAAGTTATCACACGGCAGAGCTAAGTGCAACAACCGAACTCGACCCAATCCCAGGGTCGTGGAAATGAACAGGAAGGACCGTTCAGAACCAGTACCAATCGACATAGTTTAGAAAATCGGAAGGCTAAGTAAGCGAAAGTTTGGACCACAATGTAACCACGGGACCAAAAGTGACATATAACGTTGGCGCGAGTAAAAATTCAGCTGTGTCAAGGGCAGCTCAAAAACTGTCTATCAGTTAGATCATAAGTAAGTATTGGTGATGCTCAACCTTGCTTATTGGACTTCGGCTCATCCATCCACAGAAATTGTCGTGAACGCCTGTCTTCGGAGAACAACCGTCCCCTAATGTTTCCATAGCGTGCACACTATAACAGGTAACGAGCGGATGGGAAAGACAAACAGTCAGCTACAACGCCGGAACATATGGGACAGTGCTCCGCTGTTTTTTGTCTTTGTAGAATTAGCATCCTTCATCACTCCTTCAAAACCGTTATTCATGGTTAACCCATGCTGTGGATGGGAGCCTCAGACCAGAAGAGAGCCCACTCGCGCACAAGCCAAACCCGATTATATGATTGGCCCAAACAGGCTTAGCTACTCAACCAGGGTTTCCACTAACGACGTTCCATGGTTGGATGATGGAGTACGGCCAGTCGGACAAACGAATTCGAGATGCCTCGCCCAACTTCGCTTCTATTTTCTCCCGTCAGTGCGCAAATGATCGGGTTTAGGACAGTTATGATCCTTTTCAGCTTTGACACTCGTCTGTTCTTGCGAAGACTGACGTAAAACAGTCTCAAGATAAATAATACAAGAAACAGTATCGACACTATTTCTCGGAATTGATACCATTACTGAGAAATATTTCTTCACAAGACACTAAGAGGTATGCCGACAGTCATCCACGCCAGAAAAATATGAATAACTCACGCGGATTCATACGAAATGATACACAGGATCGAGGATCTTTGCCCGTTTCTCAGGTCGGTTTTGTTCTTGTCGTTCAGCGGCTGTCGTTCACCTGAGAGGCACGAGTGAAAAGGTGTAGCACTACTCTTTATGTTCTCAGCGCACGGCAGTATGCTTGCCAGCGCGATGATTCGCATAAATTAATGACTAGTAGTGCTTTGAACTGGGTTCTAGAAGGAGCGTGGACAACCGTCGGAGGGAGGTCATTCCACGAAGCTACCGCCCGGAATGAGAAAAAATTTTGCCTAATGAATGTGTGCGCTCTGAGCTTGAAAATCTTGTCACCATGGCTCCGCCGTGTGATTTCTGGGTCAACGATGAAAAAACCTGTTTGCCAAGCCTTGTTCAGACAGGGCATAAGTAAGAATTAGGTCCCCTCGGAGGAGATGATACTCCAGAGGAAAGAGATCAAGCACCGCGAGACGGGTATCGTGGTCCACGGATTTGAGGTCAACAACCATCTTCGTAGCGGCTCGCTGGACATGCTCAATCAGGGTGACGTCTTTCG